GGTTTCAGTGTTGCCCAGGCTGGATTTGAACTCCCAAGCTCTTACTACCTCAGCCTCCCAAGTAGCTAGGTTTACGGTATTTCCTTTCTTCTTTTTTTTTTTTTGAGACAGTCTCAAGCTGTTAGCCTGGGTAGAATACCATGGCGTCATAGCAACCTCCAACTGTTGGGCTCAAGCGATCCTCTTGCCTCAGTTTTTCTATTTTTAGTAAAGACGGGGGTCTCGCTTTTGTTTAGACTGGTCTCGAACTCAAGCTCAAGCAATCCACCCACCTCAGCCTCCCAGAGTGTTAAGATTACAGGTGTGAGCCACTGTACCTGGCCTACACTGTTTTCTATATTTTTTTATTTAACATAACATAAGCATTTTTCACATAATTGAAAAATAACCCTGAGTGATTGTTAGGAACAGTCGTTCTAATGACTATGAATTTTTTTTACCCATTATTCATTGAACATTGCTTTATTTTGGGGTGTAAACATATTGCCATGATGAATTTTCTTTTTTGCAGTTTTTGGCCGGGGCTAGGTTTGAACCCACCACATCCAGCATATGGGGCCAGCACCTTACTCCTTTGAGCCACAGGCACCGCCCCATGAAATTTTTTTTTTTTAGTGACAGAGTCTCACTTTGTCACCCTTAGCTGAGTGCTGTGGCGTCACAATTCACAGCAACCTCCAGCTCTTGGGCTGAGGCTATTCTCTTGCCTCAGCCTCCCGAGTAGCTGGGACCACAGGCACCTGCCACAATGCCTGGCTATTTTTTGTTGCAGTTTGGCCAGGGCCGGGCTTGAACCCACCACTCTCAGTATATGGGGCTGGTGCCCTACCCACTAAGCCACAGGCGCCACCCGCTGTGATGAATATTTTTAAGCCAAAAGCTTTAGCCACACTTATGTACTTAGGCTAAATTACCTAAAATGAGTTACTGTCAGCAAACAACAACCACTTGAAGATTACTGTATACAAGAAGCCACAGTGAGGCTCGGCACCTATAGCTCAACCGGCTAAGGCGCCAGCCACGTACACCTAAGGTGGCGGGTTCGAATCCCCAGCTTGGACCCGACAAACAACAATGACGGCTGCAACCAAAAAAATAGCCAGGCGTTGTGGCGGGCGCCTGTAGTCCCAGCTACTTGGGAGGCGGAAGCAGGAGACTCGCTTGAGCCCAGGAGTTGGAGGTTGCTGTGAGCTGTAATGCCACGACACTCTACCCAGGGGGACAGCTTGAGGCTCTGTC